TTGAAATTCTTGTAAAAAGAAACATGTCGAACATCCATTCTTAAAAGCTCCCTGTGTTATAAATTCCAATCATGTACATGTATAATGGTCTTCTAAATTGGGATTCTGTCCGTCGAAGAACAAAATGGAGAAGGTTCGTAATTCAAGGGCGGAACTTGGGCCGTGATTCTTAGTTTCTTATTAGTTACGCGTACGACTACGGGAGATGACTGATGATGCCAGATGGGCTGTAATAATTTATAAAGTTTTGCAAAAGATAAACATTCAATCATGGCTTTTCCTTCCCTTTCAAAATTTCTACCAAAATCAAATGAAAAGTCTCTGAGGTGGGTATTACCATTTATTGTAAAACCGTACTTTTCGGTCTTTTTATAACATGGTGAAAGCTTTGTTAATTCTATTAGCATTCACCTGTTAATGTTGTATAATAAAAACTGTACATTATGTAACATTACGACGATAAAAAAAGGCAATTTTCTCGTCCTTTCTTTACAAAGTTAATTGAATCAATCAATGTAAATAATTTGCCATGCAGGAAGTGGAGATGCCAAAATAAGACCGTGTCTATACGGAATCACCCAAACCGCGATTCGGGTAACTCACATTCCTCACATCTGGTCCACGTGCCACACACACCTGCGAAACCGTGTCCGAACATAATGCGCTTGAGCTACATTTATTGCTGTTTGATGATAACACGCAAGGCGGCGTGTTATTAATGTCAGAGGTCAACGACCTGCTTGCTGGTGCCCCCCTCCCAGCGTATCTCGGCCGTATGCCGACGTGGTCACGCCAGAGGCGGTGAAGCTCGCCCTAGAACGGACACATTATTTGACTATTACTGCTCTTCAAGTTGCTGCCACGTAAAAATTGGTATTGCATATAAAAAAAAGAAATATCACCCCGTAATCCATGACCAGGCGAAGTTACATTGAAATCACATTGCGTTCAGACGCAAAACGCAATGCGGGAAACCGATTCGAAACCACCTCTAGAAGTGGTTTGGGATCGAGGCGCTTTCAATGTGATTTGGAGCGTTCAGATGGAGCCACTTGAAACCGGCTTCGGGGTAAACCACATTTAAAGCGCCTTGAGTGACTTCACATTAACACGGCCTAAGACGCCTTACGACTGTGGTTGACGCCATTACGAGTGTACAAGCTGGAAACACAGCTGTCAGCCATGTTTGTTTACATTCTGGTAGTTAATGGTGGTACCACAAACTGAGTTCACCTCATGTTGACTGTTAGGACAAATTGTACTGCCATGTTTTATGACCGTTACATTTGGACAAAGGAATTTGATTGTCTTGAATGTGCAGATGGTAGTGGTGACGCACATAGTATTAACGTTCAGCAATAGGCTTTAGCAAATACCGCATGCTTGGCCAATTTAATATTAAGGGTTAATGACCCACCAATAGGGGTATATGGTGTGATAAAGTCTTGTCAGTTGCTATATACACCAAATACAACCAGCGATAAACAGGTAGGTCATTAACGTTATTACTGACCAATATACGAGATACGAATTTCAGGATGAGAAATAATTCGATATTGTGTAATGACTACTACATGTGTATACAGTCTGCCCAAACTTTGAATTATTCTAAACAATAAGACTGCATAAACTTGTTATACCTGGGATGTACTGTTCATATAATTAAGTAGTGTATATATTTATGTGTATATAATGTTATGTGTTTATTTTAAATGATGTAAATACCAATAATGCCATTCAGGCAACATTATAGTTCTATTTTGTATGTCTGCAATGTTGGTATGGAAATAAAGAATTGAATTGAAAAAGAAACACGATGTTATAGCCTATTGGTAACCGGTTACAAAAAACAAACAAACAAGCAAACAATAATATTGGGTTGCCCGAAAAGAGGATTAATTTTAATGGTGAAAGCTGTCACAATTGAAAATCAACTACAATACTTGACTAATGTGTAAATCAACACTAAAAGGTAATTAGACTGATCCTAGAGCCTCACCCACGTTCGTCAATACAAGAAAATACAACTGATTGAAGGACATGAAGCCACTCTCCCATTGGTCGAACCGCTAATTGCCATTCTCTCATTGGTTGAACTTAATAATTATTGTGATTGGCATTCAGGATGGGTCTACTCTATTGTATAAACTATAATTAGGAAAAAGGGTGAAATCTTCAGTGTAATATGAAATGACAGTAAATATTAGAAAATAATACAAATAGCAAAGAAATATTGTCAAATGTAGGACATGAAAAAAATTATAATGTACAATTAAATTTCGTGAGATAGCTGTTGTACAATCATGTAGTTTTACATTTCAACTAGAGAAGTAACATTTGCAAAGCAAATGCATAATGTTTACCTTCGGACATGGTCTGCCCTGTTAATTCTTACTCAAACACATTACACATACATGTACTACTAGTATATATGTTGACAGGAGCAGAGTAAACCATGAAATTGCAACATTATGTAACCAAACAGACATCAACAAATCATGTCATTGGTCAGGTCAGAGGTCACTGGAGAAGTAGAAGAAACTGAGTAAAAACAAGAGTCTGCAAGATTTTCTATTAATAGTAAAGTTTCCCAACCACTGGGTTAATTGTACTTGAAATATAACCTTGATAGTTGATACAATTGAATATAATTGTAACACCACTTACGCTATTCTTGACTACAGTATATCCTCCATTAAGGACAAATATGACAAAATTAAGATACTACTCATAGTACACTCTCCTTAAACAATTATTCTAGTTCTTCACAACACTACACAAGGCAATAATGGTAAATAAAGTACTTTGAATTTTAAAACGTTGGGTTTCTATTCTCATTTGTGGTTTACACTGTGACCTCTTCTTTGCAAAATCATATTTTCTCGAAAAAGCCTATCCAGTGCAGTACATTTTTGAACTACAGTAACTGCAATTTTTTTTTAACCACACAAACTTCTTATCCCCTCCTAATGCAAAATCAAAAGTTGAAGGCATCCAGTGCAATTTTAGGGCAGCAAAACAAAAAAAAAAATTCTGGACGAGGAAATCAGATATTTAACTTACATAATAGTGCCTTTTCTAAGCATATTTTATACAATGTACTGAGTTTGATATAGCCCCAAACAAGCTATATTTTCCACTACCAATAACAACATAGAATACAAAACATCCATTTTCCGTCAGCAACATTGCATTTTTGCCTCACAGATATTAGTATGGTATTGGAATAGGGTTGCTTCAACTTACATTGGTACTACATGTACATTTATTTTTAAAAAAATGAAAAGAAATGTCCAATTTTACTGCCCTGACATCGCTTTGGGTGCTTTTGCAAAAAAATAGAAATTAATTTACAATACATGTATGTACATGTAGATGTACTGTTCCAAGTTCTATTGGATTAGGCCACAGCAAGTAATTTCTATGGATGACATCAGCGCGTGCATTAATTAATTTTCGCCTGATTTTGGAAAAAAAAAACAAGAAATTTTGTTGCCTTCTGACAGTGGTCAACATGCCAAAAATGGGCAAAGATGTCTGCTGCCATGCCGGAACATGGATGGCAGATAACTATGAAGAGAGGAGACAAGAAAAGGCTCTGATTCAATGTTTTATTTCTTACTTTGATACAGTGATATGTGATGCTGGCTGTGTATATGTGATGATTCCACCAAAAAAAATCCATTTGTACAATGATTGAGTCAAAATTCTAAAATCTAGGAACCTTGTTTTTTCGGCCTGTCTTGTTTTTGTTTTTTTTTGCCCTCTCGCATTAGATATAGGGTATCTAAAGGACGTCATCCATAAAATTTACTTGGTGTGGCCTTAGCCATGTTTACATTCTTCTGGGTCTCTTGGAAACAGACGCCTCCTCATCCGCACTTCTTCTAGTTGACCTCCTCCCCTGGGGGGAGCTGTTTCTCCTTGACCTTCCACCTTTAACCTCTCGACCTCCCCTTCCTAAACCAGGTGAGGGGGAACGTCGTCTCCTTGGTGATGAGGGTGACCTTCTGTAACCTCGTGGGGGGGACGGGGTTCGCGCTCGCTTACCCCTCCTGCTACCGTCCTCCCTCTTACCTCCCCGGGTTTCTGAAGCTTGTTGTTGGGACGATTCTGACGGTGTACTCTTCTCTGTGGACTGTGCCTCAACTCCTCTAGAGATAAACAAAAGGATATTGGATCGTGAGTTGCAAAAAGTCTGTGACGCCCCCCATCTTTTTTGAGGGAAGGTTGTAGTGCCCAGATGTAGGTGGCCTCTTTAATCCCTCGAGCAAAAAAAGATTCTCAGAGTCTGAATATTGGGGCTTTCTTTTTTACACAACCAGCATAGACTCTCACCTGCTTACATTTTGATGCCTGTGCCAGCTTCTTACTGGAGTGCTGCATCTTACCACCAGTGTATATAGGTGGCGCTTTTGCAGCAAAGATGCCTGACAGGCATCCAAACGTAAGCAGGTGAGAGCCTGCACTAATGTACAATGTCATGTAGTTGTGTAAGAACCCCAATATCCTAATGTTTTACCAACCATAAAATTTGGTTCCAATTCATTCATGACCAGTGTTTATTTATTTATTTTATTCACATTTATTTTTCGAGGATTGGGCAAAAAGTTATAAGACTTATCTCAGCCCTGTCCTCATACATAAAAGGAAACTATAAAACAAAGTAATAATAAGAAGAAGAACAAATGACAAAGGTACATAATGAGCTGGTGTACAAATCAAAATCAATCAACTAAATCAAACAAAACGTCCTGTCTGCAAAATAAAACCACATCAAATATTTTACAGTTGTTGACAAACGGTAATGAGGGGTTACCCCTGAGAATGGTTTAACATAAGGTTTTGTCGATGACGTTATGTCAAATGGCAGGATGTTAGTTAGAGATGACATGTCAATGCGTTCATCAGTGTACAGTGGGCAGAGTAGGATGTAGTGTACAGCTGTTTCGTTGGAGTGACCACATTTGCACGCAGGACATTCCAGTGTTGGCAGTTAAAGTTTAGTCTCTTTATTTCGTAAGAATATGTTTTAAAAGTTCCTCTGCCAACTGTAAGAGGAATTCTACCTGTACCTAGTTTCAGTTGAAGTCTTTCCCCCTCTCTTCCTGTCCCCCTTCTGTTCATCCTCCTTCCCATGTGACCTGGATGATGATTGGCTGGCAGGGGAGTCACTCCTCTTACTCTTTGCATCTGCAAAAAGAAATTCTAAGTTTCAAACTTCAAGGAAATAATTGGGGTTTTCATGACATTTTTAAGTTCACAGACCTATAAATGTTATTTTTGCTTTTTGTTGATTTATTTTAACTGTGGAGGGACTGTACGAGTTAATTAGGTAATGCATTCTTTACTTCCTTCACTGCTTGAATCCTAAATTCCTCCACATACATCCCACTTACATTGTGTAATAGAGTGCTCTAGCCAGTATTGATAATACATCATAATTTTTTTTCAATGCAAGGCCAATTAATTTTGGCCACTTCTAGGCATAGAGCTAGAGGTACTAAAGTGAGTATAATGTAGTTATGTCAGGAGATGGTGGTGGACCTTTGTTTTGAAGCTTTGATTGTAGTTGGACGGAAAGCAACTGTTTGGAAGAGAGTTCCATAATTTTGCAATCTGGGGAAAGAAGCTGTTGTTGTAAAATGACTTGGAGACAGGTATGTTGACGGTGTATTGATGAGAACTGGAAGAGAACCTAGTGGCACGCTGAAATGTTCTGAGTGGAGGAACAAGAAGTGCAAGTTCTCCTGAACATCGACGATCTTATCTTAGATACGCGGTATTAGTTCCTTGTACAGTATCCTGAAACACAATTTCCTGGAGTCATTGTAGCCCTTCTGCCTTCTGAGAAGAATAGGCCTGGAGGTGGGCAACCTTTGAGTGACACCAGTGATGGCTCTTTCTCCCAGGGGTTCTATAAGCTACATGATTGTATGTTGTAACTGCTTGGACCATAGCCTTACAGTGAATGTGAAAATATTGGGGGACTGAATGACATCTTTAGAAAGGGAGAGGATATGACTGTTAGAGAAAGAATGCAACTTGTTCCAAGAAATCTGTGTGCATCTGTGGCTGTTTGGCAACCATAGGGTTTCTTTGCTCCCACAGTTACATGTACTGTAGGAAATTAACTATCCCACAGACTAACTCTCCTGGCAAAATATTTAAGAGCGAATGTCTGTAAGGATCAAACAATGGTGGCACCGGTCAAAAAATCGATTTGGCTCATTTTTTGCACAGTGATAGTACTTGGTACATAACCCCTCAGAATAGCTTTCTTTTTGCTCAGAACCCCTTGTTGCCATGGCAACGGGCCAAAGAAGTTTTCAGGGCATTTGTCCAGATTTTGGCATGTACAAAACATAGAAATTGGCTAACTTTAGGGCACTATAACTGATTAGTGCTTTAGCGTAACGACAAGAGCAAGATGTGCTGATCAGAGCAATGCCTAAACTTGTATAAAATAGCAGTAAAGCCAATGTTCAGTAAAATCTGAGGTCTTGGGCACCCTGAATACAATGCACTGTTTTAAGGGTGTATAAAAACTGAAATTTTGCCCAACTTTAAAGCACTGTAAGTCCCAAAAGGGGAGGATGTTTTGCTTGAAATTTACACTGCATAATAAACCACTCCAGAGGTATCATATGCATGCTTGCAAAGTTTGGGTTCTTGTTTCGTTGCTACGCACTTGTCCTTTAAAGTAGGTCAGTTTTCGTTTTTTTGTGATTTTGTGCTATATTTGACCTAGCATAAGTTCCAAACCAAACTTGATATTTACTTGAAATTTACATAGAATATAAGACATAAAATTGTCTATATAATGCATTCTTGCAAAGTTTGGGTTCTTGTTTTGTTGCTACGCACTTGTCCTTTAAAGTGGGTCAGTTTTCATTATTTTGATAATATGTCATTTTGAGCTATCTTTGACCTAGCATAAGTTCCAAACCAAACTAGTCACTTACTTAAAAGTTACATAGAATATCAAACATCAAATTCTCTATGAAATGCATTCTTGCAAAGTTTGGGTTCTTGTTTCGTTGCTACGCACTTGTCCTTAAAAGTAGGTCAGTTTTCGTTATTTTGATGATATGTCATTTTGTGCTATCTTTGAACTAACATAAGCTCCAAACCAAACTAGTTCTTTACTTGAAATTTACATGAAGTATAAAACAACAAATTGTCTATGAAATGCATGCTTGCAAAGTTTGAGTTCTTGTTTCGTTGCTACGCACTTGTCCTTTAAAGTAGGTCAGTTTTCGTTTTTTTTGATGATATGTCATTTTTGTGCTATATTTGACCTAGCATAAGTTCCAAACCAAACTTGATATTTACTTGAAATTTACATAGAATATAAGACAACAAATTCTCTATGAAATGCATTCTTGCAAAGTTTGGGTTCTTGTTTCGTTGCTACGCGCTTGTCCTTTAAAGTGGGTCCGTTTTCATTATTTTGATAATATGACATTTTGTGCTATCTTTGACCTAGCATAAGTTCCAAACCAAACTAGTTCTGTACTTGAAATTTATTTACAACATAAAACAATATGTGGAATTGCTCAAAATGAGCACAGTCTACATGTACAGGAATAGCGGAGTTGACTGAAATGCATGTTTTCCACATAGACATAGTTATACAAAGACATAGACATAGAGTGATAGACTACATATTAGAAAGATGCGCAGGGATTTATTATATTTTTCAAATATAGAAACAAGTCAAGTCTTCGAGAGTCAATAATGTGGGGACGCTAAATATGACTGTATAAGACTGTTATCATCAAATTAAGATAAAATGGCATACGTTCAATAACAGCCACATTGCTACAACTATATCATGCAAACGTTGGTGCTAAGTATTTCATAAACAACCCAAGGCATAGATCTGGCAAAATTAGAGATAGAAGAATTAAAACCTTTCCTTTTTCATATTAGACTCCCAAAGATAGCCAATATTTTGCATTAGTGGACAAGTGAAGAATATGGCCTACTTTCAGGGACAGGTACAGCCACTAGAACACAGGAATCTGACCTATGCAAACATGCATTTCATAGACAATATATATTCAGTGTAAATTCAAATAGCAAAACAGTTTACTGTTGAGACTTATGAGAGTCAAAAGATATGACAAGATGACATGAAAATATGCAAATTGCCCCTTTTTCAGGGACAAGTGCGTAGCAGCAAAACAAGAACCCAGACTTTTAAAGTACGCATTCCACAGAGTACATATTGTTTTATGTTGTAAATAAATTTCAAGTACAGAACTAGTTTGGTTTGGAACTTATGTCAGTTCAAAAAAAGCACAAAATGAAATATTATCATAATAATGAAAACTGACCCTACTTTAAAGGACAAGTGCGTAGCAACGAAACAAGAACCCAAACTTTGCAAGAATGCATTTCATAGAGAATTTGATGTTTGATATTCTATGTAACTTTTAAGTAAGTGACTAGTTTGGTTTGGAACTTATGCTAGGTCAAAGATAGCTCAAAATGACATATTATCAAAATAATGAAAACTGACCCACTTTAAAGGACAAGTGCGTAGCAACAAAACAAGAACCCAAACTTTGCAAGAATGCATTATATAGACAATTTTTTGTCTTATATTCTATGTAAATTTCAAGTAAATATCAAGTTTGGTTTGGAACTTATGCTAGGTCAAATATAGCACAAAAATGACATATCATCAAAAAAAACGAAAACTGACCTACTTTAAAGGACAAGTGCGTAGCAACGAAACAAGAACTCAAACTTTGCAAGCATGCATTTCATAGACAATTTGTTGTTTTATACTTCATGTAAATTTCAAGTAAAGAACTAGTTTGGTTTGGAGCTTATGTTAGTTCAAAGATAGCACAAAAATGACATATCATCAAAATAACGAAAACTGACCTACTTTTAAGGACAAGTGCGTAGCAACGAAACAAGAACCCAAACTTTGCAAGAATGCATTTCATAGAGAATTTGATGTTTGATATTCTATGTAACTTTTAAGTAAGTGACTAGTTTGGTTTGGAACTTATGCTAGGTCAAAGATAGCTCAAAATGACATATTATCAAAATAATGAAAACTGACCCACTTTAAAGGACAAGTGCGTAGCAACAAAACAAGAACCCAAACTTTGCAAGAATGCATTATATAGACAATTTTTTGTCTTATATTCTATGTAAATTTCAAGTAAATATCAAGTTTGGTTTGGAACTTATGCTAGGTCAAATATAGCACAAAATGACATATCAAAAACGAAAACTGACCTACTTTAAAGGACAAGTGCGTAGCAACGAAACAAGAACCCAAACTTTGCAAGCATGCATATGATACCTCTGGAGTGGTTTATTATGCAGTGTAAATTTCAAGCAAAACATCCTCCCCTTTTGGGACTTACAGTGCTTTAAAGTTGGGCAAAATTTCAGTTTTTATACACCCTTAAAACAGTGCATTGTATTCAGGGTGCCCAAGACCTCAGATTTTACTGAACATTGGCTTTACTGCTATTTTATACAAGTTTAGGCATTGCTCTGATCAGCACATCTTGCTCTTGTCGTTACGCTAAAGCACTGATCAGTTATAGTGCCCTAAAGTTAGCCAATTTCTATGTTTTGTACATGCCAAAATCTGGACAAATGCCCTGAAAACTTCTTTGGCCCGTTGCCATGGCAACAAGGGGTTTTGAGCAAAAAGAAAGCTATTCTGAGGGGTTATGTACCAAGTACTATCACTGTGCAAAAAAATGAGCCAAATCGATTTTTTGACCGGTGCCACCATTGTTTGATCCTTACAGACATTCGCTCTTAAATTTTTGCCAAATTCTACAATCCCTACCGGCGTTGGAAGGCCTGGTGGAGGCTACTGAAATCATGTGCAGCATTTAAAGGCAGTTTGAAAACCTACCATCACCATCATCATCATCATCATCACTGCTGCAAACCTCTCCTTCGCAGCACAAACAACAACAGAAGGGAAAAGTTACTAAGTAGAAGCATCTTGCAGCAAAGCAGCAGGGCTCAAAATACTTTTTTATTGACATGTAAAATTGCATGTTAGCAAAAATTTTACATGCAATTTGAAACATCTAAAGTAAAATTGAAATTCAACCTTCAGTGTTTAGATAATAATCAAATATACAACAAGATATGTAATTATCTCCATCACTGAGTTCTTCTTATTTTTTATAATTTCACAATTTTTCACAGTATATAAAAATTATAGATGCACCCAAAAGAAATGAGACATGATTGTGCTTGAAAATGTGATGAATTTTTATAGACCCGAGAAAAATCATTTGGGGAAATTGGAAAGAAACACGGTACTACATTTTTAAAAAATGATAGCAATATAGTGGACTGTGGTAGGGCACTGTTATTCCACAGTCAATGTGGAAGGAACATTGTCCGATATTTTCAACAAGCAAAATTTCATTCATAATGTTTTTACATGCAAATCTTGAAAATCATTATTCAAATTGCAGTTTCCACGTACTAGGTATTTTGAGCCCTGAGCAGTAGAGGTAACAGCACAGTTAAAAATTTGTTATAGAACGTTTTCTTTACAAAAGTACGAATTAGAGAGTATTCATTAAAATCAACAGTAAGGCCACACCAATCTAATTTGTTGGTTTTCAGATTCACCTCTTTTTTTTTCTTATTGGTTTGCAAAAAAAAAAAGATTCTGGTTCTGAATCAAATGACCCCCCAACAGTTCAGGAAAGTGCTGTTCTTCCTAGTTGTTACAGTCTTTCCATCTATTGTGTTTGATTAAAAGTTCAAAAGTCATTGTTTAAATATTAACCCAGCCTTTTGTGTTGACTTCATGGCTCCTATCGTAGCATTTTGGGCTATAATAGGATGACCTGTTTTTTGGGTTTTTTTTTCTCCCTGTCTCTATATACGAGACATATAAGAAATAACCAAACCTTCTGAGTATTCCCTTGGCTCCTCCTCTTTGGCAGATGGTCCTGCAGCATCTGATGTCTCAGCTGCTGAAGACTGCAGGGCGACTATAGGTATGGAGTAGGCTGTCTCTGTGTTTAGTGGCTCGTACTCAAACTGTTCATCTTGTGTGGGGGTGGGAGGGGTGCGGGGGTCATCATACTCCTCAACAGGAGAAGACACTGGAGGCTGTACTTTGGGTTTATCAGTGGCTTTTTCCTCAGAAGTGACAGACTGGGTCTTGGCATCTTCACGTGTGTCTTTAGAGGAATCAGGCAAAGAGACTTCATCTTCTTCAGGTAGGGTCTTAGCTACATCTTCCTCTGTAGACTTTGATGGCTCTAGGAGCTTTTCTTTGGGCTCTTGACTGTCTTCATCTTTTTTCGATTCAACAGATTTAGATTTAGTTTCTGTTTTTTCTTTGACTTTGTGGTCAGCTGTAGTGGTATCTTTAGATTCAGTTATCTCACACGTTTTGTTGGTGCTGGTATCTTCTGTCTCTCCTACAGCTTTTTCTGTGGCTGTCACTGTCTCTTTACCACCTCCACTTGAAGCTACACTTGCTTTAGCACTTGTATCTGATGCAGAAGCTACAGTTTTGCCTGTTTTTCCTGCTGTTGTGTTTTCTGTTTCAACTACGCTTGCTGTAGACTTGTCTTTTGGCAGTGCTACGCTTCTGTCTTGAGTGTCGTGATCAATGACTTTTATTTTATCTCCTATTGGTTCTACTTCTCCACTGTTGTCTCTTGTGGATACAGTTTTATCTTTCTCCTCAACAGCCGTAGGAGCTGAGCCTTTAGTCAAGGGTTTTTCTACTTCCTTCTCTGGCTTATGTGTTTTAACGCAATCATCTGTAGGGGCCTTTTCTTTATCTTTATCGTCTGCATGACTTTTACTGGGTAGGTCTGTGGCCTCTGGACTTGAGGGAGCTATGTTCTTTGTTGTCATTTCTAGAGAACTACTTGGCGGACCCTCGTCGGTGGACTTCTTACGTCTTTTCCCCTGGGCTGAGTCGGGTCTGGGAGGGGGTGGGGAGGGGGTGA